TAAGTAAAATTTTCGGAAGTTATTCCCTGCGCATAAAATCCAATTAAAGGCTACTAGAAAACTCGTTGGTGGCGATGGAGCCGAGTTATTTAAAAAAGTGGTGGTTTTTATGAACCGATTTCGTCCAAATTCAAAAGGTGTTCTACCTGCATGATAAAAAATACTTATGCAAAAAATGGCGCTGCAGTTGAGTTATTTAGAAAATTCGAATTTACTGTAAAATCAGGTTGCAATTCATAAAAGTGCTGCAGTCGAATTATTTAGAAACCCCATATGTCTGGCCTATTTTGTTTCTATGTTTATATTATACGAATTTACGATGTTTCACGTGGTCATACAACCCAAATGTGACCTCGCATCTACCTCCGCTTGATGAAATTGCTCGGACGGCCATTGCTGCAGCAGTTAGACTCAAGAAAACCAGCTTTTGGATATTTAAAATATGGCGAATTAGCAAGGAAAGTTTCGACCACATCCTTCCAAGAAAGGACACGGTTAATATATCAATGGCCAAATTTGAAAGTGCGGGAAAACTTTTCGTCCTGTGAACCATCGAGGATTTTTGGCTCTCCTATAATAGAAAACACAGATCTGTGCTCTTCGCCTTCCTTATAAGGACTTTTGTTGACTTACATGGCATAAGACTAGAGGTTTGACGTATCGGACCAATGTTGTAGTTGCAAGATCATTGAAAGACCATCGGTAAAGCTCATGACCACGAAGCGTATTTTTTTTGCTATTGCATCAGAGCCTACTATTTTTAGCAGAAATATGTGTGAAAGTTGTTTCAACCTAATTTAAAAAATTTTACTTTATCCATATTTGCTTTTCAACCCTATTCTTGCATTGGGCAACGCAAAAGATCTTATCAGGGGCACACAATCCTTGCCAATAGAAATATAAGTAAAATGATGCTGAGTGTGTTATAAATACATTTTTTTTAATTATTTTAAATAACGAATAAAATCACGAATAATTTATTCATGAATGAATTATTTGCGAATAAGTATTTTACGGATAGAATTTTATTCCAAAAATTATCTAAATAACAAGTTATTCGAAAAATGCCCAACTCTGATTGCCTGCTTGTTAAATATTTCAATTGACTTAAGTATTTTCTGTATGCATTCTAAAATCCATTAGCTATCGCAAGCACCCTACTATTTACCTATGTATATACTTTAAAGCTCTGAATGCAACAATTGGTTTATAAACTGTGCTCACTGTCCATCCCACCACTGTCCTTCTGCCATTGGTGCTGTGTAATGCGAAACGCTTTCAATGCTATTAAATTCGAGGCAATAAATCAACATATTATTTAACAGCCCTAATTTTCACATTTTATTTGTATTACTTTATACGGTTTTTATGACATTTTGAGGAATTTGATCGGATTGATCAGATTATTTTGTATTTATGTACATACATACATACTGCTAGGCATACCTACGTACGTACATAGGTATGTATTTACGTCCGTACAAAGTATTTATTACCATTGTTATGGCTGCAATCAGCATAGTAAATTACCAGCACAGAACGAGATAAATTTAATAACAATAAATTCATACCAATTTCCAATGACCCCTGATTGGCATACAAATGTCGACATACTCGTGTGGTATATAAAGTTATTGGCATTTGTTTGGTTTATTTACATTTGGTGCTGAACAGCTGATTGGATTGATTGTTTGGTTTAAACACAGGGTTGCATATCTAACATTTAAATTGCCAATATTGGTTAGTCAATGTATCTGATTTGATTAAATTTTTTAAATGGCTTATCTGAAATTGGGCCTGAGCATGCAAATCTTCACATCAAATTTTCAGTCGTTGAAACATTTTGAAATCTTTTTTCTCCTCGCTCGGGCCGCTTTCCGTTGCGGATCCCTAGGGCCTAGGCGGTTGCTCACATTGTCTTATGCGACAATCCGGCTCCGCATATATGAGAAAGACATTGAAATAAATATTTATACATATTTAGCTTACGCAAAATGAGGAACTTAAAAAAATAACAAACAAATGATAAATTGCGTGCCACAGCATACGCTGTTCGACATGAAAAATGCCAAATTTATATGTAGGGTTGCAGTTTTTGCTACTCTATTAAGAATGCGAAAATCAAATCAGAAAAAAAATAAGTAATTTATCATGTTTGAATGCTCCGTTTATTTTTTCCTACTCTCGAGTATATTGCGTTTATTTACTTTGTTTGCTTAGTTTACTTTGGTAATGCTGTACTAAGCCTACTAATTTGACTCTGCTCTGATGCAGGCATTGGTTAATATTTGCTATTGGCGGTTTGGCTAAATTACAATGTATACTCGTAACCGGTGATTGTGCACATTCACACAAATGTTTGCATACACGCAAGCAAAGCCGAATATGTATGTTAGTATGTTAGTATGTGCTAACACGTAACTGTCCATAGAGTCACTGGCGCACCCACCACATGCAAGCAAATTGATTAACTAACTGTTGTTATTTAAACTAATAGAGAAAGATA